TTTCTGCTCTTAACCTTTCAAGTTGGAGCCTTTTAGTCCAAATGTGTTACGCTCGTTTGGCTTTTGCTTTAGCCACTACCACGTGGCACTTTGGGGCTTAGGGATTTGTGTCTCACAAATAGATGATAGATAAAATGTTAAAAGGTTTTGAGGAGTTTGTATAAACTTATTTGGTAACATGCATATTGGACCAAAGAGTCTAACATGTATGCGAGTTTGTGGGTGTTAAACACGTCAAAAAAGTGCTTTAGATCCTTGAGAAGCATTTTCTCAAACTCAAACTTTGAAAGTGTAAATTTGGATAAAACTTTTATAGAAGGACTTGGGGTTTTTAATTTCATGAGATAAAGTGCAATTAGATCTTTACATGATGTAGGTTATTGATAAAGTTATTGTTCCTTTTAATATTGCAAAGTTGTATAATGTCTTGAGAAAGGCTGTTTTTTTAGAAATTTGTGCCAATGTTTTTCCAAATTTCTTCTATTTGTGAAGTTTGATTTTGCAAAATGTGCAATGTTTTTGGTTGTAAAAATTTTAGAAAGCATTTGAAAAGCTTAAAAAGCTTTTGACTTTTACATTGGTTTTACACTATTCTTACTTTTGTTGTAGACTTATCTTTCACATAAATGCTTTTAATATGGGTTTTATTATTGACTTAATGAAAAAAACTGCTAATGATTCTATATCTTATTAGGTATATTAGTTATTCTATCATTGATGTGGAGAGCTATTGTAGAGGTATTTTTAGAGTTTCATGCCTTATTTCATGGATTAAATATCTTGATTGAGATAGATCATACAATTGTGATATCAATTCTTACGCATAAGGTTGTGTAACATGCTCTCAAATGCATCATTATGTTTCTAAGCATATAAAACCTTTAAAAAGTTTTAGCTCTGCCAACTTGTTAAGTCATTAAAACTAATTTAAGTTTCCCATTGGTCATATATGACTTAATATAGCCTTTTCTAAATCTACTATAGAGTAATCAGTACATCATCATTACATATGATTACCTCATGTGTTGGATTTAAATATACACCTACATAATATAACAACCAACTCAATTGCATAATTTATTATACAAATAGTGATTTTGTGACATGGTGTTCTAGGTGTATCCATTCTGACTAAGGTCTTGGGATAGCCTCTAAAGTGTTTAACAGCAGCTCAACATTAAATCGAAATAATACAAAAATCAAATGCTCAAACCAAGGTTGATATTCAGTAATCATAATTGGCCTTCCTTTAACAAAATAAGCAAACAAAATTTAAAAAATAACTTATGAGCTGTGATAGAGCATTTATTTTATCTAAATAGATTTAAAGGCTTTTTATAAGATTTTTTGAGAAACTCTCTAAATAAAGAAAATTTTATTGTGCATTACATGTGATTTGCTTAATATTAGTGTTATTCATATTTATTAATTCATTTGATCAAATGGAAGTTTATAATTTTAAATATGTTTTTAATTTATAAACACAAGATTAATTTTATTGAATACCAATGATAATATGGTAGAATAAACTAGAATATACTAGAAATTTTTTAGGAAAGTTTATAAAGTATAAACATATTTATAAATTATAAATAAGAAATTAATCTAAATGAATAACAACTGTTGGATGGTAGAATATTCTAAGATATTTAAATATATTCTAGATATCACCTTGAAAGTTTGCTTAAGTAAAAGAATATTAATCATTACCGAGAGAGAGAGAGAGAGAGAGAGAGAGAGAGAGAGAGAGAGAGAGAGAGAATTTGACATCTGGTACATGAATTATTTAGGGTGTTTAGTTCTTGAAATGAAGTGTTATTTACATCAAGTCAAAGAGAGAGAGAATTCAACATTTGGTACATGCATTATTTAGGGTGTTTTGTTCAGTTCATTTGGAGTTGGTTTCACTCTAGAATAGTTATAAATAACTTGGAGAAGATAGAGTTCACTATAATGGTCTGGTAATCTTCTGGGACCATAGGATCTCCAGATTTATAGATGGGAACCACACAGTTTAAAGTCCATTCCTGAGGGAAATCTTGATGTGCTGCTCATTCAAAGAAGATGCACCACAGGGTCTCCACAGATGCACTCTCCATGCCTGGTATTTTGTTGTGAAAGGAACAGAAAAGGTATGGCCACCTCTTCTTTTTAGTTGACACATCTCTTGACTGGCAAGTGTTTTTGATTCAAGAACAACTTTCCAAGAACAGCAAGTCTGATGGTATTAAGATGACTCGCGTTCATCTTGCAGCGCCATGTAAGTGAGTATGTTATCTGGGAAATACACTATTGATAAAATTTGCAGGTTGTGGTCATGGGAATGGAAAGTGACCAAGAGAACAGATGGTCGGGACGGACACTTGCTCCATCCATGCAGGTCAATGCATTTTTTACTGCCTGAAAACCTGTTGCGTCCCAGGAATGTTGCTTCTACACAACGTATCAAGCTCTTGAATAAAGGTCCTTTATCATATATTTGTATGTATTGTCACGCCTCACACTTTGCCAATGAGATCAAGTCAATTTTGAATACCTTGGAACAACTGTATTCATGCGTGCAACTTAACTCTTGCAAAACTTTTCCAGGTCAGAGATAAGTCCATCTGAAACGCAGTCCAGCTGAAAAACTTGTTGAATGAAGCTTGTAATCTTCCTTTTTCAATTTATTCTCATAGTTTGACACTCTTGAACGATACCAGCTTTTAATTCTTGGCAACTTGGTGGCTAGGGCAATGGGCGAGGGGGAGATTCGCGCTTGCTGCCGCCGGCTTTCGATCCACTCGCGTCTTTGCTGGGCTGCAAATGTCCAAACTTGCGTCGCTGATGATCCCGCCAAAGCGGCCAGCAGCAGCAGGATTTCTTGTGGCAGCAGCGTTGCCAAAGAGCAGCTGAGCAGGAAAGATGCGTTTGAGCTGATTGAAAGCTTGTACCGGGATCATCCAGCGCCGGTTTGGCGGGTACGCACTCGCTCCTCTTAGTTTCGTTCTACGCGATGGATCATCATCTTCCAGGTAGAGAGTAGGAAAGCAATGGAGATACAGCAGCACAGTCTTAAAACTTCCAAGTGTCTCATCTATGGAGAAGTCAGTTTTTTCTTCCTTTTTTGTGTTCTTCCGCCACAGTGGTGTGTTGTTTCTTTTTTGCTTCGACGCTCTCAGGTAAGCTTTATAGCTTTTGCAAGGATGCTGGAGCTGTGTGTGCCTCTGGCTATGGGGGACTCCTCGGGGAAAGGCTTCGCGTTCTACGACTTGGGATGTGGTGCTGGCCGTCCTGTGTTTCTAGCTCCAATGTTGCGGCCGGACTGCGTGAAATCTTGTGGAATCGAGATTATCCCAAGTATGTCTGTTTTTTCGCTGTATGCAAAAGTTCTTATGTGTTGTTTCGTTTTGTCAGGCATGCACGAGATGAATCAGGAGCTACTTCTGCTGTACAAATTGGAGGTTCAAGAAGAAGAAAAAAAAAAAGTTGTATGGACACTTACACTTAACTTGAGATTGTTTTGCAGGTTCTCCCTTATTTGCATCCTTCCAGACGCGATCAAGACATCAGTTTTGTTCGAGGAGACTTTCTCCAGGTGCTGTTTCATGTTTACTGTTTTTTTCTCAAGCGGATTAATGGCATTTCCATTTTCAGGAAGACTGGTCAGACGCCGACATTGTTTTTGCGAACGCAACATGTTTTGATGATCCATTATTCGAGCAGCTTGAGGTATGTTTATGTTTTGCTTTAGGAGGAGAAGGAAAGGAGAATTATTCTCTCCTAACTTTCCCCACCAGCAAAGAGCTACTCAGACACTGCGAAATGGCTCGATTGTGATTTCCGTTACAAAGCGGTTTTCTGGTGGCTCCTGGGAGCTTGTCCAACGGCAAGAGATGAAAATGAGCTGGGCGCCAGCGATCGTTCACGTCCAGAGGAAGAAGCAGCAAAATCCACACTCAGACAAACAAACAACAGACAATCACATCTCAGCGAAAGTGATACAGGTTCTCCAGATAGAAACTACAAAAGATCATGTCTCACAGACACTGATAACTTTCACAGATCACGAAGCGTTCGAGCAGCAACAATGACAAAATTTAGAGGTTGGTCATTCTTTCGGATAGGAAAAAACGCGATTTTGTGGGCGCTCACATGTTTCTCACGTCGGTGTTTGATTGCAGCAACAGTCACCACTACTAGGATCGAATAAAAAGAGGGGAAAAAAAAAAGCCTGCGCCGTTTCCAGTGGAAGGTCGTTCGTATGCTGGAGAGCAAGCTGGATCTCGTTCGTTTTCCTCGACAACTTGGATCTCTCATGTGGCAGCGCATCAAAGCCAGCCTTAAATTCACGCACTTTTGTTTGTAAGGTTCGTGGTTGGTGTTCTTCTGGTTCTGACTCTCTCTTTCTTTCGTTTTTCTTTCCTGATCGACTACAAAGAGTGGGATATGAGGAAGAACTTGGAACTTGTGTTCTGTGCATGGCTCAAAATCCGGCCTTTTCACATGCGCGCACGAGGTGTTTTTAGAACCGATCTCTCACTGGCAGAAACAGACGTCGACGCTCCTGGAAAATTCGCCTCTCCAGGGAGAAATCACTAAAAACTCGCCGACGCAAGCAAGCAGAGATTCATCCTTTTCTTTGCTAAGTCAACCTCCAATCATCCGGGATCAAGTAGCTGAGAAGTAAGAACTTAGTGCGATCCGGAAGATAAACAAATCACAGGCAAACAAGAGCAAAAACAATGAATTCTTCTCGAGGAACAGTTGCGACTTTAAAGGCAAAACTTGGTGGCATCAATCACAACGAGGAAAGAGAAAACGAGGGAGCATCCAAGGAGAAAGACGGACAGTCACCACTATCTACGTATACGCATACATTCAAACCGTGTTCCAGGGGGCGGTCAGCCGTAGTTATAAATCGGACACGGCTGGCTGCCAGCGAGCCAGCAGCAACAGAGAAAAAAAAAATCGAAAAAACAAGAGAAAAAGAATGAAAAAGTGGACAAAAATCACCACCTTGAAACCAGAGTCATCCGCGTTTCCTCCATTACCAGGCAAGAACACTCACACTTTGATCTTCTTCGTTTTTTCCTTTCACTACTTCGAATCTTCTCTTTAGCTCTTCTCTTCCATTTATAAACCCACTTCTCACGCCTTGTCTACGAAAGAGTGTTTTGTTCCTTGCGTCTCTCGGCCGGGTGTGGGTTGTCTCGATCCTTTCTCGCTGGTGATCCAGATGGGCTTGCTAGATTTGTAGCGGAGCAGCCAAAGTTTTCTTCTTCCATGATCCGGAAGTTTATTCGTCTATAGCATTGGTTTCTCAGCTCCAGCGATGGCCTCTCGCTAAGCCCGCTCCTTGCTCCTTTTTCTGCTTGAAACACAGCAGGAAGAGAGGGAGTTTTACTTCGCTTTCCATCTCGTGCTGGCTTGGACACCGATTTGGCAGCCCAGGAGCATGGAGCTCCGACCTGCATTGGCGGTTCTCGTGCTGCTTGTCCTCGCGAGCTGCGCCAGGGGCGAAGACCCATACCTCTACTTTGAGTGGAATGTCTCGTTTGTGGATCTGGCGCCTCTGGGAGCTCCTCAAAGAGTAAGAGCTCAAGCTTTAGCTATGTGGCCAAGTTTCTCATGGTTTTTTTTTCCTTTCTTTTTGATTCTTTTGGTTTTGTAGGTGATTGCTATCAACAACCAGCTTCCAGGGCCTGAGATCGCCGTGACCACCAACAACAACCTCGAGATCAATGTTTTCAACAGCCTGGACGAGCCTCTTCTTTTCACCTGGTAAGAGATTTTCTCAAAGAAATGTTTGGACATGGTTTCATTCAAGTTTTTTCTTCCAGGAATGCGGTGTGGATGAGGAGAAGTTCATGGCAAGACGGTGTGCTTGGAACAAATTGTCCAATCCCACCGGGAGCAAACTGGACTTACAAGTTCCAAGTGAAAGACCAGATTGGGAGTGGCTTCTACTATCCTTCGCTGCTCATGCAACGAGCTGCTGGAGGCTATGGTGGAATCCGGATTTACAACAGGGCAGTCATTGCGGTTCCATTTGCTCCACCAGCCGGAGACATCACAATGCTCATTGGAGATTGGTACAAGCAAAACCACACTGTAAGTCTCTCGTTGTTTCTTCCTTCTCTCTTCTTTAACTTGAGCTGTTCTTCGTTTTTCTCGCAGGCTTTGCGAGGAACTTTAGATGCTGGATTCATGATCGGTGCTCCGGACGGTGTGCTTATCAATGGCAGGGGTCCCTATGGATCATACTTTGTCGTAGAGCCAGGTATGTAGAACTAAGTTGGTGATAGCGATGTGAGAAGAAAAATCGATTTTTTTCTTGCAGCAAACACTTACCGATTGAGGATATCAAACGTTGGAATTTCCACAACACTCAACTTTAGAATCGAAGGCCACCGGATGCTCCTGGTGGAGACCGAGGGCTCCTACACCGTCCAGAACTTCTACGACTCGCTGGACGTTCACGTCGGCCAGTCTTACTCGGTAATCATCACCACCGATCAAGCACCGGGAGACTTCCACATTGTCGCGAGCAGTCGCTTTGGAGTTCCAGTTTTAACCGGACTGGCAACCCTCCACTACAGCAATTCTCCGTCAACTCTCGGTGGAACACTCCCCCCGGGGCCCGATCCAGGCGATGTTGGTTTCTCGTTCAATCAAGCTTGGTCCATCAGGTAGAAAAATAAAAGAGCTCTTTTTCTTCTGTTCTCGAGGATCGTTCTAAGTTCTTGTGGCTCTTTTCCAGATGGAACTTGACAGCAGGAGCTGCCAGGCCAAATCCTCAAGGCTCCTTCCACTATGGAGTGATCAACGTGTCAAGAACTATCAAGCTCTTCAACACTGCTCCCATGATCAACGGCAAGCAGCGGTTTGCGGTGAACGACATCTCCTACTTTAATCCGGACACGCCTCTCAAGCTCGCCGATTACTACAAGATCCCAGGCGTTTTCTCTCTCAACTCCATCCCGGATTCCCCCTACTTCAGCACCCCGTTCCTCGGAACCTCGGTTCTCAACGTGGACTACCACAGCTTCATCGAGATCATCTTTCAGAACAATGAGGAGGTGATCCAGTCGTGGCATATTGACGGCTACCAGTTTTTCGTGGTCGGGTACGTACTTAGATGACGAAAAGAATGAAGAAAAAATGAGTTTTTACTTGGTATGTTTCATCCAGATTCGGACCCGGAGCTTGGAACGATACCAGCAGGCTAACTTACAATCTCTACGATGCTGTTGCTCGATCCACGACCCAGGTACGTGTGCTTGGATCCTTCAGAGGTTCGTTTCTTCGTGCTCAAAGCAGGAAAACTTTGCAGGTCTATCCAATGTCCTGGACTGCAATCTTCATGTCCCTGGACAACGTCGGAATGTGGGAGATTCGCTCGCAAAACCCCGCGCGGCAATACTTGGGCCAGGATCTCTACATGCGAGTTTACAACCCGGAGGAGGCTAGGAGCACGGAGACGGCAATTCCCAGCAACGTTCTTCGCTGCGGCAAAGCCGTGGGTCTAAACTAGAAACAACCAACGACGCTCTCGATTTCTTCTGGAGGTGAAGAAAAGAGATTTTTTTTTCATTCTTTTTTATCGGAAACATGAATCTATCGTTCTGTGAGTTACAACTGAATAATTCAAGAGGGACCATGGATTCCTCGAGGGGAAATAGTCGTTCTTTTGGGTGGCTAGAACTTTAGAGAGAGTGAGAGAGGCGCACAGGTTGCTCTAGTCGTCGCGCCTCCAAAGTCGGGCATGGTAGTGTGGCTATAACAAGCATCGTCGAGCTTTTCAGTTGCTCCTCCGGATCCACTCAAGAGAGCGCTGGTGTTCTTGTGGGTGATGAGAACTCCACTGTTGCTGCTGCTACCGCTGCCGTGATCTTGCGGATTGCTGCCAATGAATCCATCGAATTGGTGGTACTGGATCTCAAATTGTTGCTGTTGCTGCTGGTATAATTGCCTCAAACTCTCGGCCTCTTTTCGAAGAGCTTCGTTGTGAGCTGCCAAAAGATCAATCGTAGAGATCATCGAAAAAAAAAAACAAGTGTTTTCTTGTAAACATACCGTCCTTGAGACGCACATTTTGCACCAATGCAGCTATCCTCTGCTTCATAACACCGTTGTCGACGTTCAAAAGAACTCTTTGGTGGTCCAAAAATGAGACCTGAGGTGTGAGTGTTGACACTTCCATCTTTTTCAAACGAAAATAGATGGTCAAAAGGTGTTGTATGAATTGATTGGCAATCTTACCTGTAAGGAACTTACGTTCTTCTCCAATTCTGCTATGTACTGTAGCTTTCTTATCCGCGACCTCTGAGCAGATTGCCTGTTTGCAATGATCCTACATTTTTTCACAAAGTTTATGAAACATAAGATCTTCACAAAAGAGAGAAAACAAAGCCTATGAAACAGAGAGAGTGCGAGAGAGGCAGAGGAAAGCATACCTTCTGGCTCTTTTCGGATCCAAGCTGGGATCGAGAGATATATCATCGTCTAGAACTTGATTGGCGACAACAACACAATCACCATCCTGGCCATCGGAGATTGTTGGCGATGAATTCTTGGGGGAGATATCAATTTTGTTCATAGAACCCTCGAGAAGAACATCTGAGAGCTGTTGTGGATTCTTGACAAGCTGCTCCTCTTTCTCATGTCTCTCATCTGTTTGTGCAATTGCTGGAGGAGGGCTGGCGTTATCGATAAAAGCGGCAGTGTCACTCACAGATCTCCTGTGTTTGACTGAGGAAGTGGTAGCACTGCTGTTGGAATAGTCGTTCATCAACCAGCCTGTGTGTCATGAATTGTGGAGAGCGAATTAAAACCCAAATCACTTGCAAGTACTTGCCTACCAGTTGAGTGGATTTTGTTGCTCCCGAAATTGGGCAATCCAAATCCAAGAGGCCATCCAAAATCTTCCATTCGATCGAGAGTGATTGATCAACAACAAACAAACTAAAAACTTTCTGGAGCGGTTTTAAGTAGAAAAGAGCCTTTTTTTCTTTAATCTCTTGAAAAAAAAAAGAGAAAGAAAATGTAACAAGAAGATGGCGAGCACGCTTGCACGTTTGGCTAAAAATGGCATCCACGATGACATCCATTAGTTTACTGCCTAAATTTGATATAATCCGCATTATTCTCAAGATTATGCGCTAAATCACATTAGGGTTACTCTAGGGCTTTGGGTAGAAGAGACGCAATGGCGCTAGTGAGGGCGGAGGTGGTGCTCAAGAAGCCCGTCACATTCGTCACAGGCAATGCCAAGAAGCTGGAGGAGGTAAAGATGATCCTCGGCAATTCCATCCCCTTCTCGACGCTGCGCGTTGATTGTAAGCTTCGCATCTAGCGGCATTGAGCAGTTTCGTTCTAAATGTTGGCTTTTCTCCAGTGCCGGAGCTTCAGGGAGAGCCCGAGGAGATCTCGAAAGAAAAGGCGCGCATTGCTGCCAAACAGGTGCCACGAATCCAAGAAGAATGTAGATAGAAAAGTTTTGGTTTTTTTTCTTGCGAAGATTGATGGAGCTGTGCTCGTCGAGGATACATGCCTGTGCTTCAATGCTCTACATGGCCTTCCAGGTTTTGAGTTCTTGGAAGCTCTTGCAGGAACTAATTCTCTTCGAATTTTTCCATTCAGGGCCTTATGTGTAAGCATTGGAAAACGCCTCATTGGTTTCGGAAAATGGATGCTTTTGTGCTTGCAGGAAGTGGTTTCTTCAAAAGCTTGGCCACGAAGGTTTGATACGATACTTCTCATTCGTTTTCTTTTTCTAGTATCTAATGTGGTGTGATGCTTCAGGCCTCAATAACATGCTGGCAGCGTACAAAGATAAATCCGCTTATGCGTTGTGCGTCTTCTCACTAGCTCTCGGGCCTGGCTTTGAGCCTATAACATTTGTTGGACGCACTGAGGTAGATTTTTCTCGGAAAAAGAGTTTTTTCTTTCTTTCCCCGTTTCTAAGAGAAGGGCGATTCACAGGGGAAGATCGTTCCAGCGAGAGGGCCAGCAGATTTCGGCTGGGATCCGGTGTTCCAGCCAGATGGAAGCGATTTTACGTGAGTGTTTTGCTCCATCATTCGCCTTCTTACATCTAGTTTTTCTCTGGGCCACAGCTACGCAGAAATGCCCAAGGACGAGAAGAATAAGATCTCTCACCGGCGCCGCGCACTGGACAAAGTCCGAGATCATTTCCGGGAGTACGATTTCGTTGTGAGGAACGATGATTCATAAATGTACCGACAAAAAATCATCTTTTCCTTTTCCTAAAAGCTTCTAGCAGCCACGAGGAAGATCTACGTAAGCAATGTAAGCTTTTGATATATCCCTCTATGCTAATCCGCTTCTCCAATGGATCGAAGGTGTGAAAGTAGAGTAAAGTGGCCCTCCAGATTCCAGCTAATGATCGGTGAATGTTGTCTCCACGTTAGCAAGTTCAAAGCGCGCGAGGCACTCGCGGGAGCAGCCCATGTGTCGTAATCCACCGCGGCTGTCGTTGATCTGACTTTGTCTACCATACGTAAAATCCCCGAGAAATGGGTTCACGTTTTTCTCGATCTCGAGATCGCCCGAATTGTGTGCCATGGCCGTGTCTCGCGACGAAGATGCGCTGGAGCAGCCGCTGCTGCAGGACGATCCAGCAAAGCTGGAGGAGGAGCTGCGGAGCTGCAACCACGATCCGGATTGCCCCGGATGCAAAGTTGCCTACCTCAAACACCCCAAGGCCGGCGCTCCACTCCGGCTGCTCCTCGGCCTCGGCTTCGTCATGCTTTGCACCTGTAAGCTCCCCTCCCCGCTGCAAGATCAAGATCACTACTAGCTAGTTGATCCCATCCTTCCTTGATTTGCAGGTCTTCCAATCTCGGTGGTCTATCCCTTCCTCTATTTCATGGTATGAGGGATCCCATGGATCACAGCGATTGATTTGTTTCTTGGCAACTTGGATGATGATCCAGGTGAAAGACTTCCACGTTGCGAGGGTGGACGCAGACATTGGATTCTACGCGGGATGGATTGGTGAGGATGAAGCTCTGGATAAGTTTCGATAAGTTTATTCGATCGACTCGTAGGATCCTCTTTCATGATCGGGAGGGCGTCAACCGGGATCCTATGGGGCAGCATTGCCGACAGATACGGTCGGAAGCCGACAATGTTCGCGGGTGTCGCATCTGTGTACGTAGCGCTACATTTTTGAATTTGGTTCCTTGAGATTTCTGCATTTCTTTAGTTGATGGCTAAAGTTTTTGGAAACAAATGCGTGCAGGGTTGTGTGGAACACGCTGTTTGGGCTGAGCACCAATTTCTGGATGGCCGTCACCACGCGCTTCCTGCTCGGCTGCTTCAATGGGATGCTGGGCGTCGTCCAGGCCTACGCATCGGAGCTCTGCAACGAAGAACAGCAGCCGCTCGGACTCTCTGTGGTAAGAAATCATCCCTTCAGTCATTTTGCAACGAGAAGAATTTGATCGATGTCTCGTTGGTCGTCAGGTAGGGACCGCTTGGGGATTTGGACTCATCGTCGGCCCCGCTTTGGGTGGCTTCTTGGCTCAAGTAATATCAAACCGAAAACTTTTGCTCAAGAATGCCGCTTGTAACGCATCGTTTTGGTTGTGATGTTTTCAGCCAGCTCTCAAGTACCCAGACGTCTTCACGAGCGGGTCACTGTTTGACCGGTAAGGTATTTTCATGAATTCTCGTTTGTTCTCACATTCTATCAATTTTCTTTCTCTCCAAGGTTTCCATACTTATTGCAAGCCCTTTGCATTTCCTCCATCGCTGTTCTTGGTTTATTTGTTGTCTGCCTCTTACCGGTAAGTGTGAACGAAAGAAGAAATAAAACCAAGTATTGTGGTTTCAGGAAACATTGCACAGGAAGAGCTCCGTGCCAAAGGTTAAAGACTTGGAGAAATCGAATCCAGGCGATTCGACAGAGGAGAAAGTGGAGTCTATCTTCAGGAACTGGCCTTTGATGGCTGCTATGACGCTATACTGTCTCTGGTCGCTCCATGATATGGCCTACGACGAGGTAAGAATGAAAGGAAAACTATGCGCGCCTATGTTGGTTGTTGCAGCTGTTCGCTCTGTGGTCCGTGAGCCCAAAGTCTTACGGGGGTCTCGGTTACACGAGTTCTCAAGTTGGATCAGTTTTAGCAGTTGCAGGTTCGAAATTACTCTTTCTTTCTCCAAACTAAATTGGTGGAACTTTTGTTGTAGGTTGTGCAATACTTGGATCTCAACTTGGAGTTTTTCCAACAATTTGTAGACTCCTTGGACCGATCCGGGCCTGTCGGTATGGAGCCGTAAGTTCCAACATGTAGTTTTTCCTTAGCGTAACACTCATTCCTTTGTGTGTTTTGAGCAGCTTATCACAATTCCCCTTCTGGTAGCATATCCATACTTTGGCAGGATTCAAGGACCTTGGCTTTCTGTAACGGTCTATGCTGCCTCGGTTGTCAAATGCATTGTCACGGTATTCTTGTCATTCTCTTTGCTTTCCAGTTTTCACACCGTAAATCTCTTCCAGACCGCCGTAATGACGGGATCATTCATACTCATCAACAATTGCGTGGTACGTTTTTCTCTGTGAAGAGAAAAAGCTGCCTCTCTTTTTTTTTTAATTGGCTCTCACTCACCATGGTTTCCTAAAAATTGGCCAGAAGCAACGCCAGA